TGTTAAAGTGAATGACTTTGACTTATATTCAAGGTCACAGGGGTCAAATTTGTTTAAAATCTTTAAACAACCTCTTATGAATAACCATGGGTCCCAGGATGTTTATACTTTGCAAGTTGCATCCTGAGATGAAAGCCTATACAATGTGTTCAACATAATGACTTTGTTCGACTTTCAATCACAGGGTTGAAATGTTTAAAAAAAAAATAACAGGGTCTTTTGAACGAATTTTAATCATAAATACTGATATTTTGCCTGTAGCTTTATTTTAGATCACTTTTAAGGTTACAAGTGTGAGTTTATACCAGGTGAGCGATGCAGGCCCATTGGGCCTCTTGTTATAAATTTCATTGTTGAAATACATCTATTTCTGGTTATAAATGATTTTTGTGAAACTTCAAGAAAGTATTGTAATATTCAGTAAAACCCCAATTTATAAAACTCCATTTCCATGACCATGTTACTGACTACCAGCCCTTATCACATTTTCTTCTTAACAATTTCATTATTCCTCTCAGTCTCTTGATAAATGTTGTCAAATTTTGTTAAAATGCCAAAATATTCCTGGAAAATGGAGGCAGTAGAGAATGGTTTTATCCGAAACCATAAGGTCAGATTTTTCCGCGTTTAATCTTAAGTTTACAGATAATAATAATAAAGGGACCAGTACTGGGAAAGCTGCCTCATTGTGTCAAGTTGATAAGAACAAATGCTACACTGATTACCAAAATGGTATGAAGTCTTCAGAAGAAAAATGCCAGACTGAAGTTTTTATGGCTTTTCATATTTGTTATAAGTACTTTGTATCTAAATGAAAAATATCCATTTTTTGTTAGCTTTGGTTTTTGATGAATACACAACTTAGATGTTGATGTAGCAAAATTTATTAATTTATCATTGCATTTTTTGAATTGATCAAAGAGGTTGATGTGTTTATTTAGTTAGAAGAAAAAATATTCTTTAAGAAAATAGAAACTATCTGTATGTCTTAGAACTTGCTTTTGATATTAGAATGCAAAAGAAGGTGATGTCATTAGGCTGATGTTTGTTTGATTAAACAGGAAGTGTTATAGAGATACCCGTTAGAAAACAATCACACTGTATGATGTTCTAAACTAGTCCAGGAAGTATAAAAGAGATGAAAAAAATGACATTGCATGGTCCTCTATACTCTATATTAAAAGGAGGCACAGTAGTCTAGTGGTAGAACGCCTGGCTCGTCACTTCACGGCACTGTGCTGTATCTTTGAACAAGATACTTTACTCCGCTTGTTCCAGTCTACTCAGCTGGAAATGAGTACGTGGTTGGGCAGATATGTGTTGAATGCTAGCTGTTAGCGACTAAATGGAAGCACTGGCTGTATGCTCCCCAGGGAGTTGACTTGAGAAAGATATTGGCCGGTTGCAAAGGCCCGATAACCACGGATAATAATTTATGAACCACTTTGTGAAGCAGTATAGCTCAAACTATTTTATCATTATTATACAAGATCAGGAATATTAAGTTACCTCTGATTCCTCTGTACTGGTTCAGCATGGCGTGATGCTCTATACTGGCTCACGAAGTTTGGGACAGATATACAAAACATAAAATAACGCAGTATAGTATTCAGAGAGTGTTGAGGAGTGACGATATGATCCTTATGCTATTCTATGCTAGAAAGAAACAAAAGTATGAAAATGCATGCATCAAGTATGTTAGCAACAAAATTTCTTACACAGTAATTGATTATGAAATTATTGATTCAAACTGATATGAAATCGTAAGTGATTGCTATACCATGCTTTATACCATACCGTACTTAAATTATTTTTGTTCTGCTACCTTATTATCATTCAATATCTTAAGCATATTTAGTGGTTTTCGACTTTGTTCTGAGGTATGGGGATTTGCACATCCTTTAATACAAGCAATCTCCTTTCCCTTAGACTGACTTGGGCTGCTTTTTTTTATCGCGACCCAAAAGGTTGGACCAGAGTTGTTAGTTTATGAAATAAGGCCGGCCCCAGTAATCAAAGCCTTGCAAGGCCTGCATTAACATTTGCAGGGCCACCAGGATTTTTACCCCAAAATCTGACATCTGAAAGCAGACAAACCGGTTGCTCCGCATAAATGATTCCAAGCTGCACAGGTCCATTGACTGATTTTTCATGTCATAATGATAAATGATAAAATGGAAATATATGCTATTAAAAAAAGAGAAAGAAAAAGATGACACTGAGATTGAAGCTTAGGATTATTACATTATAACAATATAGATTTAAATTTGTCTCTTTTGTGTTGAAATCTATAAGAATGCAGTCGTATTCTCTATACAAAATGAAACCGAGGTTATCTGCCTTTTGTAAGAAATTTCAGTGACTAACATTAATGAGCTTAGAACTGCAATCCAACTCGATTATACTGTCAGTTGTTTTTCTTGAAATTGCATGACTTCTCTAATAGAATATTCTGGTATTTATACCAATAAATAAATGTACTAGCTGTTTATTAGATACTTAACATAAATTATTTATATGTGTTTATGAAGCATATTTTCTGATAAATTATTCTCTTTTTTTTTTGATTTGCACTGTTTTTGCAATTGCTTGTTTCAACTGGAAAAAAAGAAGATTCACATTAAATTCAGTGTACAAGCCCTGTGAGGAAATCCTATCAATTTATACTGTAATATCGTATTCTGTGGTAGGAAAACTGTTTCAAACATTTGGGTTTAAGGGTTGGGTATCCACTGTATCATCTATTTTCTGTTTCTGGACCCCTGTTTTCCCAATTACAATATCTGCAGCTTAAATGATTAAATTTTCAGCCAATTATTCAAGATATCTGTTTTCAAATACACTTACCTCACAGGCAAATTTACTTATTTTTGTCTTTGTCAATAATGATCATTTCTAAATTACAACAAGTTAAAGTTTAAATAATGTATTAACATTTAAAAAAAAATGATAGAATGTTTTTTTGTTTTGTTATTAAATTGTCCTTTGAACCAAATAGTATCCTTAAGATATTTAGAGGACTCTTTTTTTCCATATGTCCACCATACTTCTTGTAATCTTCAAAAATGGCCTTCATACAATTTTGTGGCTGTCAAAATTTGTAAGTCCAGGTTACACAGGATAGCAGTTCAAATTTCCCAAGGGAGATAACCTTTTTCTTATGGGAGATAACCCACTACACAGAGGAAGGAAACTCAGTACCAAAGGGAGACAATCCATTTCTCAAGGTAGTTAACCCATTACTTAGAGGGTGTAGGTCAATCATGTTACAGTATAAATTGAGATTTGTACAGGTGTGTTGATGGTTACCATATACAGGGAGTTGGAAATGATGATAGCGTATAGAAACTTCATCTCTTGTATTTTCTCCTCTCATGGGTGTTTTCCTGTGCAGAGCTTACAGGCGATACTTCTACATGAGCAAGAGGACCAAGCACACACAGTGGGACTATCCAGATGATGAGGACGATGAGGATGACAATGACGACATCCATAATGCAAATGCAGAAAAAGAGAGCTCAGACAAGTTTGTCCCGAGGCCACCAGATGGTCATCCTGGTCAAGAAGGGGAACTGCCACAGTCACCCGAGTCTCATTCTATTACGTCTGCATCGCCGGAACCAACAAATTTGTCATCTAGTATGAGGGACATAGACATGGTCACCTCAACGACAGTTGTCAGTGGGGGAACAAGGTCAGAGGTTGGGTCCATTGCTGACACAACTGTTTCATCAAAATCAGCAGTCATTTCTTCCAGCCATTTGAGGCCTACAGAGGTAAGGGTTAAAGTTCATTACAACCTTCAGAGATAAGAAAAATATCTTGTGGTAGAATTTCACTAGAATTAGGGTCAAAGGGTACCTGGGATCTACACATGGGTTAAAGGTGACCTCAGCCTACAGAGGTTAGGGAAATCATTGAAGAGATTCATGCCACCAGGGACCTACATGATCAGGGTAAAAGATAACATGTGATTTAAAATGGTAAGTGTGCCAGTCAGAAGATCAAAAGTGAACATCTTCATGAACCTAAAGTGGTTAGGGTGATTAACAGAGGCTCAAGGTTCATTGGGTATCTGTAAAGGACAAGAGAGGCAAGTAGGGGAGACAATCAGCGGGTGAAAGGTAGATAACCAAAGCTCCATTGTCACTAGAGCTCTACATATGTAAGGGAGATGAGGTCATCAGGGGCCTACAGAGGTAGGGGAGATGAGGTCACCAGGGACCTACAGAGGTAAGGGAGATGAGGTCACCAGGGACCTACAGAGGTAAGGGAGATGAGGTCACCAGGGACCTACAGAGGTAAGGGAGATGAGGTCACCAGGGACCTACAGAGGTAAGGGAGATGAGGTCACCAGGGACCTACAGAGGTAAGGGAGATGAGGTCACCAGGGACCTACAGAGGTAAGGGAGATGAGGTCACCAGGGACCTACAGAGGTAAGGGAGATGAGGTCACCAGGGACCTACAGAGGTAAGGGAGATGAGGTCACCAGGGACCTACAGAGGTAAGGGAGATGAGGTCACCAGGGACCTACAGAGGTAAGGGAGATGAGGTCACCAGGGACCTACAGAGGTAAGGGAGATGAGGTCACCAGGGACCTACAGAGGTAAGGGAGATGAGGTCACCAGGGACCTACAGAGGTAAGGGAGATGAGGTCACCAGGGACCTACAGAGGTAAGGGAGATGAGGTCACCAGGGACCTACAGAGGTAAGGGAGATGAGGTCACCAGGGACCTACAGAGGTAAGGGAGATGAGGTCACCAGGGACCTACAGAGGTAAGGGAGATGAGGTCACCAGGGACCTACAGAGGTAAGGGAGATGAGGTCACCAGGGACCTACAGAGGTAAGGGAGATGAGGTCACCAGGGACCTACAGAGGTAAGGGAGATGAGGTCACCAGGGACCTACAGAGGTAAGGGAGATGAGGTCACCAGGGACCTACAGAGGTAAGGGAGATGAGGTCACCAGGGACCTACAGAGGTAAGGGAGATGAGGTCACCAGGGACCTACAGAGGTAAGGGAGATGAGGTCACCAGGGACCTACAGAGGTAAGGGAGATGAGGTCACCAGGGACCTACAGAGGTAAGGGAGATGAGGTCACCAGGGACCTACAGAGGTAAGGGAGATGAGGTCACCAGGGACCTACAGAGGTAAGGGAGATGAGGTCACCAGGGACCTACAGAGGTAAGGGAGATGAGGTCACCAGGGACCTACAGAGGTAAGGGAGATGAGGTCACCAGGGACCTACAGAGGTAAGGGAGATGAGGTCACCAGGGACCTACAGAGGTAAGGGAGATGAGGTCACCAGGGACCTACAGAGGTAAGGGAGATGAGGTCACCAGGGACCTACAGAGGTAAGGGAGATGAGGTCACCAGGGACCTACAGAGGTAAGGGAGATGAGGTCACCAGGGACCTACAGAGGTAAGGGAGATGAGGTCACCAGGGACCTACAGAGGTAAGGGAGATGAGGTCACCAGGGACCTACAGAGGTAAGGGAGATGAGGTCACCAGGGACCTACAGAGGTAAGGGAGATGAGGTCACCAGGGACCTACAGAGGTAAGGGAGATGAGGTCACCAGGGACCTACAGAGGTAAGGGAGATGAGGTCACCAGGGACCTACAGAGGTAAGGGAGATGAGGTCACCAGGGACCTACAGAGGTAAGGGAGATGAGGTCACCAGGGACCTACAGAGGTAAGGGAGATGAGGTCACCAGGGACCTACAGAGGTAAGGGAGATGAGGTCACCAGGGACCTACAGAGGTAAGGGAGATGAGGTCACCAGGGACCTACAGAGGTAAGGGAGATGAGGTCACCAGGGACCTACAGAGGTAAGGGAGATGAGGTCACCAGGGACCTACAGAGGTAAGGGAGATGAGGTCACCAGGGACCTACAGAGGTAAGGGAGATGAGGTCACCAGGGACCTACAGAGGTAAGGGAGATGAGGTCACCAGGGACCTACAGAGGTAAGGGAGATGAGGTCACCAGGGACCTACAGAGGTAAGGGAGATGAGGTCACCAGGGACCTACAGAGGTAAGGGAGATGAGGTCACCAGGGACCTACAGAGGTAAGGGAGATGAGGTCACCAGGGACCTACAGAGGTAAGGGAGATGAGGTCACCAGGGACCTACAGAGGTAAGGGAGATGAGGTTACCAGGGACCTACAAAGGTAAGGGAGATGAGGTCACCAGGGCTCTACAGAGGTAAGGGAGATGAGGTCACCAGGGACCTACAGAGGTAAGGGAGATGAGGTTACCAGGGCTCTACAGAGGTCAAGGAGATGAGGTCACCAGGGACCTACAGAGGTAAGGGAGATGAGGTCACCAGGGCTCTACAGAGGTAAAGGAGATGAGGTCACCAGGGACTTACAGAGGTAAGGGAGATGAGGTCACCAGGGGCCTACAGAGGTAAAGACTCTAAGGTGATCAAAAGTCACATTCATACGATCATTCATTTACTTCAACCTGGCTTGAATTTGCTTGATGAAAGATTTCCACCTTGTTTCTATGCATTACTTACTACATTATATCTGTTAGAATTAATTGTTAATGGCACTGTACAATAACATTGAAAGTTCCTATGAAAAAACCATGAGAAAATATTATTTTAGCAGTAGTGATATTTTATCCAAAACAAATATTTTACAGCTTTTGTTGTTGTGAAGAGACTAAATTCTGATAACTGGTTCATATAGGTATCACTGTATCCTGTACATTATAGATAGCTGTTGTATATATGAAGTACAATGTGTTTACAGCGTCATAATGTATCTTACCTTGATGGATAAAAAAAACTCATCAGATTTTACTGTATTTTGGTGACTGTCTTTATTTCAACAGTTTAGCAATTGTATTGTTAATTGATTTTCATGCAGGCATCAAGATCAAAAGAAACTGTTCAAGAAAGCCGAAGTTGTAAGTACACAAAAGAGATAAACAAAGCACGAGTCACTGAAGTAATATCACTTCAATTACACATTTAGATTAGATTGGTTTCTCAGGCTGTGTTTCAATAAAAACACAAAATCATATCAGATAATTCAACATTGTGGATTTTTTTTCAGCCCACCATCATCAGATGTTGCGTTAACTAAATTGCTTTATGTCCATCATCTCTCTGTTGTCTGTCTTTAAGTAAAAAAAAATGGGCAAGTACAAAAAATATTTCACAGGTCCAAAATGAATATTGGTAGCCCAATTATTTTACTAAGATTTTAAGCTCACCTGGCACGAAGTGCCAAGTGAGCTTATGCCGTGGCGCGGCGTCCGTCGTCCGTCCGTCCGTCGTCCGTCCGTCGTCCGTCCGGCGTCAATATTTTACTTTAAACGACTTCTTCTTAATAACCGAAAGGCATAGGGTGTCGATATTTGGCCAGAAGCAAACTTTGTTAAAATTAATGACCTTCACCCATTTTCAAGGTCACAGGGGTCAAATATGTTAAAAACTTTAAAAATCTTCTTCTCGATAACCAAACTGCCCAAGTAGATGATATTTGGCCAGTAGCATGCTTAGGTGAAGGGCTACCAAGTTTGTTCAAATGAATGACCTTAAATTATATTCAAGGTCAAAGGGGTCAATTGTCTTAAAAAACCTTGAAACAACTTCTTCTGAATAACCAAAATGCCCAGGGTGATGACATTTGGCCAGTAGCATGCTGAGACGAAGTGCTACAAAGTTTTTTCAAATGAATGACCTTAACCCATATTCAAGGTCACAGGGGTCAAATATGTTGAAAACTTTAAACAACTTCTCAATAACCAAAATGCCATGGATGATGATATTTGGCCAGAAGCATGCTGAGACGAAGTGCTACAAAGTTTTTTCAAATGAATGACCTTAACCCATATTCAAGGTCACAGGGGTCAAATATGTTAAAAACTTTAAACANGATCATTGGGGACCTACAGAGGAAAGAGAGATGAGGTCACCAGGGCTCTACAGAGGTAAGGGAGATGGGGTCACAAAGGACCTACAGAGGTAAGGGAGATGAGATCACAAAGGACCTACAAAGGTAAGGGAGGTGAAATCACAAAGGACCTACAGAGGTAAGGGAGATGAGATCACCAGGGACCTACAGAGGTAAGAGAGATGAGATCATTGGGGACCTACAGAGGAAAGAGAGATGAGGTCACCACGGCTCTACAGAGGTAAGGGAGATGGGGTCACAAAGGACCTACAGAGGTAAGGGAAATGAGGTCCCCATGGACCTTAAGAGGTAAAGGAGATAAGGTCACCAGGGATCTACAGAGGTAAGGGAGATGAGGTCACAAAGGACCTACAGAGGTAAGGGAAATGAGGTCACCATGGACCTTAAGAGGTAAAGGAGATAAGGTCACCAGGGATCTACAGAGGTAAGGGAGATGAGGTCACAAGGGACCTACAGAGAAAAGAGAGATGAGGTCACAAGGGACCTAAAGAGGTAAGGGAGATGAGGTCACCAGGGACCTACAGAGGTAAGGGAGATGAGGTCACCAGGGCTCTACAGAGGTAAAGGAGATGAGGTCACAAGGAACCACAGAGGTAAGGGAGATGAGGTCACCAGGGACCTACAGAGGTACGCGTGATTAGGTCACCAGGGATCTACAGAGGTAAGGGAGATGAGGTCACCAGGGATCTACAGAGAAAAGAGAGATGAGGTCACAAGGGACCTAAAGAGGTAAGGGAGATGAGGTCACCAGGGACCTACAGAGGTAAGGGAGATGAGGTCACAAAGACCTACAGAGGTAAGGGAGATGAGATCACCAGGGACCTACAGAGGAAAGAGAGATGAGGTCTTTGAGGGACCTACAGAGGTAAAGAAGATGAGGTCACCAGGGACCTACGGAGGAAAGAGAGATGAGGTCACCAGGGCTTTACAGAGGTAAGGGAGATGAGGTCACCAGGGACCTACAGAGGTAAGGGAGATGAGGTCACCAGGGCTCTACAGAGGTAAAGGAGATGAGGTCACAAGGAACCACAGAGG